AAAAAAAAAAAAAAAAAAAAAAAAAAAAAAAAAAAGCCCTACACTAAGCCCAGCCATAAGTCCAGTCAGGTCATCCTTTATGACATTCCCTGGTGTGGACCAGCGCCAATGCCAAAAGCCAGGTCATAGAAGCAATCTCCAGACAGAATGAGAGGAAGTGGACCAGGGACCTAGCTTTCTACTAACCTGGCTTGATCAGATGTAAGTGTATAGAGGACCAGATAAGTGTGTGCCCTTCATCACAGCGCTCCTCTGAGAGGAGCTTTTGTAAAGCACTGAGTGGCAGCATTCCCAGTCACTCCCAGATGTGAGATTCATGTCTCTGGTGGTACCTGAGAGGATGATTTTAGCTGACACATGGGTGTTAACCTCGATCAACACAGGGTCATTACAGTATCCCTCCACCTCCATGGGAAAAGCCAAGTGGTATGGAAAACTAGCGGAAGAAAAAGAGAGAAAGAAAAGAGGAAAGAAGGTGGGACTCCGTGGAATTGAAAGATAAGCCAGGGAACTCCTCCAGTGAGGAGGAAGAGATGTCCAGTCTGAGCCTAACCTGAGAGAGAGAGTTTTTCCCCACAGAGCTTTGTGTGGTGGGAGGACACACAGGGGGTCTCAATAAGGGGAAGCAGAAGTCATTTGGGGATGTGGCCTCATGCGGAAACACCCTGACCTTTCTTCTGCGGACTCCTCCCCCTCTGACTAAAGAACTCTGCACTCCATCACATACAGTCTTCACTGAGACCACACAGTGTCAGACAGGTGAGTGTAGAAGGTGATAGGCAACAATCAAATCAAATAGAGAGAATGAGGCAATGGAAATGCCAGCCAAGGACTCTTTGATTAAATGGATGCTGGACAGTATTCAGCTGTGTGGATGAGCAAGCTAATAAAATGGGGAAGGGGGAACTTCCCTAGTGAGGCAGTGGTTAAGAATCCGCCTGCCAATGCAGGGGACACAGGTTCGAGCCCTGGTCCGGGAAGATCCCACATGCCGCAGAGCAACGAAGCCCGTGCACCGCAACTACTGAGCCTGTGCTCTAGAGCCAGCAAGCCACAACTACTGAGCCTGCGTGCCACAACTACGGAAGCCCACGAGGCCTAGAGCCCGTGCTCCGCAACAAGAGAAGCCACCGCAATGAGAAGCCTGTGCATCGCAACAAAAATTAGCTCCCATTCGCCTCAACTAGAGAAAGCCCGCGCACAGCAACGAAGACCCAACGCTGCCAAAAACAAATAAATAAACTTATTAAAAAAAAAATTAGCCACGAAAAAAACCCTTTCTGTTTAATTAAATGTTTTCCTAAACAACATAATAAAAGACACAGAAAAGTACTCTGCAACTTTGACCAATATAACTTCAAAAAAACTGATAACAAAATTATACATCTACATAACATTTATATCAGTCAATTCTGACAAAGCACTACCATACTGATGACCTTAATCATTCTTTCCGGAAATACTTAGGCAGCTCGTCCCCTTGTTTAAAAAGATTACTCCTCTGTTGTGTGGATAATTCATATCACATGAACATCTTCCTTTTCTCTCTGTTTCAAAGGAAATATGCCCATAGCTTATCCAAAAGTAATATAGTGTCATAAAGGTATAAGATAAATGGAAGAGGGGATAAATATAACAGGAAATATATTAACATAAAGAATACTTAAAATCCACATGAGGACCCCAAAGAGTACATTTGTGTGACTTCAGTGTTGGGGTAACCATTATAATGAATCTGTCAATGCCTCAACTACTTTGGCCACGCCCTGGGGGCAGGGCAGGGCCCTCCTCTAAGCCACACTACAGTTGAGATGTTTATATCAGAGTCCAGGCAGGAGACAAAAACCACATCAGTCATTTGAAAGGGGAAAATTGAGATGAAGAACTATTAACTACCAAAAGGTAGTTAGCTTATAAAGAAGGGAAAGAAAGCTCTAAGGAATACAGAAATAGCAGATATGGGGAAAACACACTACCTCTAGGGCTGAGGCAGACCCTGCACCTTTGGCCACTCAGCTTCCACACACACCATTTTATACACAATTGAAATTCCACGTAACAGCACCACAGCTCTGCCTTCTCACCAATCAAGACAAAGCTAGCCTTGCAAGGGAAGACGTTCTCACCCTTTCCCCCAAACGAGGAGACAGACAGACCCAGACATTGGATCCACACTGCTCCTCAAATGTAATCACGATACCTTTGACTCTTCTGCTACCTGAAGACTGTATTACAAACATAACCTCCAACAACTTGAATAAAAGCACAAGGGTAAGAAGAAGAAAGAGGAAGAAAATGGATAATAAATAGAAATCAACACACACACGCACACATACACATGACAAGAAAGAGAAAATATGCAAAGCTATTAAAGTCATCTTTCTGTAATTGATCACAGGGTAGATCAGTATCCATGACTGCCTTCTTCCACTTCCTACCCTCTGTCTTCTCACCCCAGAACCACAGGTCAGATTCTCTACCGGGTCGAGTGACCACAACTTCATTCCCAAAGGTCTGGGTCCTTAATAGTCCTGTTTCCTTTCGTTTGCTGTGGTTTTCCATTAACCTTTACCATTGGACTTGGAAGTACTGAGAGGCAATACATTGATAACCGGCTCCATGCTCATGGTCAAAGCTTTCTACAATTCACCCTGCCCCTGAAAATTCTCTTCTTCATTTACATCTTAATTTGGATATCAACTCTTTTATTTCCATCTGCTGTTGACAGAAATGAAAAACCCAGATCCTTCTCCTTAATTCCTTAAATGAACACAACACAAGTTTTTCACAGGTAACAGAAATTTACTGAGGTTTGGAAAAATGGGTGTGTTTTATCCATCACAGAATATGAAATACATAAAATACTAGACTCCTTAGAAGTCCATCTGCCACCCATTTCCCTGGAAATTTTTGGATGACCACATTTTCTGGCTTAATAGTAAAGATCCCCCAAAACAGATCTGGGGACCAACCATCAGCCTCTGGGTTCTTCTGCACAAACTCAAATTGGATACAGTAAACACCACTTTATTCTACAGAGTAATTCAATCTATCACATCCAAACAGTATAAAAACCTTATGAAATATTTTTCATTACCGAAAGAAAAACAACTTCCCATAGTAAAATTCAGGCTACCCCGAAACGCGCTCAGAGTCAGCTTTTATAATCTGCTCCCTGAGCACAAGGCAAGGACTGATGATTCTCATAACCATACACCCAGGAGTCTGCCTCCACAGCAACAGGGCAAGACTCCCAGCCATCCAGGACTCACCGCAGAGGGCTCTGTAACATGGGGTCTGCAGCTCCATGAAGACCCACAGCGAGGGGTCCAGGACAGTGACGAGCCCTATGGGGACACAGCCTCCGGTTTGCAGGGGAGTAATGGAGTCTCAGCCACTGGGGGAGCATTAGCAGCAGAGCCTGAGCTGAACCCCTCCCCTGGGAGGCTCACAGACTCCTCCAGAAAAGAACTGTTATGGGGCACAGGGTGCCCCTCAGACCATCCCTCCTTGGAACAGACGGTCAGGGACACATCTCCTGACTTGATCATGAAGTATGGAAAGATGGTCCCAAAGAAGGAAGCCCGAGGGAAGGAGAAAATGTGGGAGCCATCAGTCATGTTGTAGAAGGAGACATCCCCTTCCTCATGGTCCAGGAACACCCCTACCCTGTGGGGAACCTGTCTGAGGGATAGCTGAGTCCGAGGTACAGTACAGGCACAATATCCAATTTCATACTGCCCCACAACCCAGAACCCCTTATCTGTGGATTCTACATACCTGCCGTTCCTGTTCACATCTTCCCTACAGACCCCCAGAGCCCACTCGCTTCGGTCTCCATCCCTGATCTCCACCTCCCAGTAACAGCACCCTGATGTGATGCTCTCAAAGCCCAATACGCTGCAGGTGTCTTCTGAGCTCACATTGGTGTCCTTCCAGGCCACAGTCATGTTTTCATGAGAGACCACAAGGTTTGAATGGGCAGATCCTGGATCCAGAGTCCTGCAGAGAAAGTTGCCTATCATGCAAGGCCTTCCCCTGCCCCATAATAAGAGCACACAACCACCCCCGAAGCTGGACTCTCAGCTGCATGGGGAGAAGGCTAAGCCCCCCTAGATTAGAAACTTGTGCCTCAAGTTCACAGCCTTCCAAACAGGAAAAGGATCCACAAGACTAATTTCAGAGTTACATATGTCACAGGGCCCTGAGGACCAGCCTGGACTTCAAAGACTGAAAAATATCTATTTAGCATCCAATATCAGTCACACCCACCAGCCCCACCTATGTGACTGTCAGCACCACAACGCGCCACCACCACTGATGGCGCCAGCGTCTGCATCACCACTGAGAACTGAAGGAGAGGCCACGGGCGCAGCAGTAGGAACGTCCAGAAAGAACACGAAGTCACTCACAGGCCTGGAACTTCTCCTTCTGCCAATCTACAAGAGAACCACACGTTTCATATCAGGGGTTTGCAGAGGCTACATATCAGGGTCAGTGCTTAGTCTTCTGAAGCATACTGATGTGAGAGTTATAAAGGAAAATGTTTTGGAAACTTTCAACTGATGCATGTATTTCTTTTCTCTCTCTCTCTCTCTCTCTCTCTCTCTCACACATACACACACACACACACACACAACCGTCATGCTTCAGCATCCCTTGAAGGCTAAGCCATAGACCTTAATACTGAAGGATTGAGAGGCCTGATATCAATTTGAACATAAATTGATATTTCACCAGATTTTACTATAAAATGAAGCTTTCTGAAGTCCCTAGCCACTCATCCATCCTGAAAACTAGGTTTTCTGGAGAAAGAATTGGGGATATCAAAATTTCCGAGCCTTTCATGTAATTATAAAGAATTAATCGAGGGGCTTCCCTGGTGGCACAGTGGTTAACAACCCGCCTGCCAATGCAGGGGACACAGGTTCGAGCCCTGGTCCAGGAAGATCCCACATGACGCGAAGCAACTAAGCCTGTGCACCACAACTACTGAGCCTGCGCTCTAGAACCCGCGAGTCACAACTACTGAGCCCGCAAGCCACAACTACTGAGCCCACGTTCCACAACTAACAAAGCTCGCGCACCTAGAGCCTGTGCTCTGCAACAAGAGAAGGCACCACAATGAGAAGCCAGCACACCAAAAAGAAGAGTAGCACCTGCTCGCTGCAACTAAAACCTGCACACAGAGACCAAGAACAAACACAACCAAAAATAAATTAATTACTTTTTTAAAAAAAAGAGTTAATTGAGCTACAGTAGAAACTAACACAACATTGTAAAACAACTATACCCCAATAAAAATAAAAAATAAAAAACAGAGCTTATGACATGGAATGTCAAGTTTCCCTCTAGAATGTTGTACTTAATTATTTCCTTTCGTCAGTTATAAAACTACCTTTTCATCCCATCTTTTGATAGGTAGTGAAGATATATGTTTGTTCATGTGTTTATTGATTTGGAATTTCTTCTTTTATGAATTGCATGTTTGTGCCAGTTCCAGTGTGGGGGGGTAATTTTATACTGACTTACACTAGGTCTTTCTCTATTTAGCATTTTAAGCCTTTGTATATCACATCTAGGGCAAGTATTCTTCCTTTTTGCCATTTTTGTTTGTTTGTATTTTGTTGTTGTATTATGGTGTTTTGATGAGGGAAGTATTTTATTTTTATGAAGTAAAATATGGCATAATTTTTTAAAAAAAAGAATTAATTGAGCTGAACGTGCACGTTACCTCTAAGCCAGCAGTAGAGAGAATACAACTTGGCTTAACTGAACTCAAAGGATGGCTGTAAACCATTAGTGGAGAGAATTCTGGATACAGCATCAGAGAAATCTTGCCCAGTTAGGAGGCAACGGAAAGGTTTCAAGGAAGGGAGACAGATGTTCAAAGTGAGGAAGACACACATTCAGTAAGAGGAAAGACACTAATGAATTCTCTTCCCCCTTTTCACAGGGTTAGTGAAGCAAAAACATCCCTATATGTGAGGGAGAACCCAAAATACTAGATCTAGTCATCTGCTTCCCCCTATAGTTGCCCAGAGAGGTTGTAAGCTTCCAGGAGAACCTCAGTGAGAGGCCCCCAAAGATGTCCATGTTCTAAACCCCAAAATGTGTAAATATGTTGTGGTAAAGGGAACTTTATGGATGTATTAAGAACTTTGGGATGGGGTCAAGAGTAGGCGGGAAACAACAGTGCCTAAATAACTAGACAGGACCTGCCACTCCTCAGCTGACCCCAGACCAAGGATCTTAAGGACCAGGTCAGGCTAGTCCCCCCAGGATGATGGCCTGATATGACTAAGGGAGAGCAGAGGGACCCCTCCCTCCACTGACCCAAGGCCACATAATCTCTTCCAACCTCCATACTCCCTTTTGGGAGGAAGAAAGGAAGCTCGCCGCCAACCAAAGCAGAACCTATATGAGTCATGGGACACTGAAATGTCTGCACTGGGAGAGCTGTTGCCTCCAACAGGGTGAAGACTCGGGAACAAGATCAGAACATTTGTAGAAGTAAGTAAACGACATTTCCGTGCACATTTGGGGTGCAAATTTGTGACCACCATCCCCACGTAATACAGGTTCATGCAGAAATTGGCATTTCCATCTCTGTTGATTTGGTTGATGGAAATAAGATCACAAAAACTGGCCTGACCCATGTGACCCTTTGAGAAAAAAAATGAACTCTAACTTACTTGTTCTTCACCAAGACACTAGTTGACACCCAGCTATAAATTTCTGTATCACAAGTGATAGAGATTAACAAGAAGAAGGGGGAGGAGGAGAAAAGAGAGTTGGCATTTAATTGTGAGACTCCACAATGTATCGAGTGTGATGCTATTCTTCACTTAATTTCCACAGCAAATCATTAAATTACAAATTGTTTTGCCAGTTTTATGAATAAAAAGAGATCAAACATTTGTTCACCTCACACTATGAACCTGTCAATATGAAAATGTTGATTCTAGTGTAATGGGATTTGTCCTTACAGAATAGAAGGGTATACAAGATATACATTAACACACATGCTCTTTAATCTAGCAGGTAAAGGGGAGATGGTAAAAGAGGACTAACTGATCCTCATGTTTAACATATAAATCCCAGGGAGAATCAGTAAGAATCCCTAAGACGAGATCCTCAGTCCTCATGCTTTCTTCACCCCTTGGTTTACCCCTCTCTGTCTCTCATGATCTATACTCCTGACTGTAAACAAAAACATTCCAAGCAGGGAAAGGGCGAGTTACACAGGCTTTGAGGGTATAGATCTTTAACTCACCCCAAAGCTAAACGGTCCTTGGGACAACCTTACATTGCACTAGGATGCCCCATACCACACTCCTGCCCTGACCACTACGGGAAGATTGAGATGGTCTCATTACCAGAGGCAAACTCAATTAGAGGGTTACCTCATAATGGCTTAAAAATAAATGTGTCTTGACTGAAATTTCTCAAAATGGTATCAATGGTAATGGTTGATTACACTTCATGCACCCAAATAACTTGCACACCCTCTGTGTGCTCCCCAACTCAAACCACCATGGTTGTGCCTTGTGGTCTCTCTTCCACCACTACAAGCAACCCCAATCTCTATAAGACAAATCTCAGACACACTACTTCCTCCTCATCTCCTCCTCTCTTCCTCCTTCTGGTCTTGTCTTCCTTGATTTGCTCCACACCCATTCTGTGGGAAAGAATCGTGACTCCTCTATGTTTCTTCACACATTGCCCCTAATAAACCTAACCAGGAATGAGCCTATAAGTGATCACAGAGTTCTCCGAAAAGGAGACATAATGGTTCTTACATTTTTGTTCCTATTACACAAACATATACACAGGATTTTTCATATAATTTCAGATCTTTCACAGACCCTCACCCCAGGAGTCCATCAACATCCCAGAAGTTCTGGACCCCAGATCCAGAACACCTGCTCTAGAGCAACTAATTCCTCAGCAACCAAGGAGGCTTGGAGGAAGAAACTGAGCCTGGACAGGGAGTCAGAGGAAGCAGAGAGAAGACCAGTATCCCAGAGGACCAGGAAGAAGCGGGAAAACCAAAACTAGAGCCAAAAGGGGTAGGAATTTTGGAGCAAGAGGGATCAAGAACCAAGGGCCCCCTTGGGAAGACCTGAGTCCTAAGCAGGCAAGCATGATCTCTGAAATCTTCCAGAGGTGAGCGATTCGTGATCCACACAGTCGTTCCCTGCTGCTGTCCCTCCTCACAACTGACCTCTCCATGGTCACTGCACCAGTGAGCAGTTCCAGTTGGACCAGGTGTTTGGGGAGGGCGTTGCTAACCCTGACAGTGCCCTGCAGCAGAGGACAGGCCGGAATGAAGGCAGATCTGTGTTCCAGGGAGGAGTCCCTGCGGTCTCTGGATAGAGGCTACAAAAGTGACAAGGAGACAAGGGACACCAACCGCACCCTCACGTGTCCCCTGATGGAGAAGAGGGAAGAGTCCAGGTTGGGGAGGAGAGGCTACAGGAACTCAGAGCCACTTACCTGCATACAGCTGGGCCTTCCTCCAGGCTGAAAGGGAACACACCCTGGTGAGACCTCAGCCAGAACAAGCCTGCTCGCTGTGAATCCCCTGGCCCGTGCCTCCCCTCTGCTCTGCAGGTGAGACTAACTACGGTCGTGGAGAGGCTGGAGGGGAGGTGACCCCCTGCTATGTGCAGACAGCAGGTGTTGTGGGAATTTCCCTGGACACAGGTCAGGAGCCCTGCATTACAGGCTGGCTTACCCCACTGTCCCGCTGCTCCTGTGTGATGTTTGGCAAGTCACTTAGCTGCTCTGTGCCTCAAAAACCTCAAAAATTCTTATTCTACTTACATTGACTTTTGCCGCTAAGGATCAAAATGTTTTCTACTATGTGTGAAAACATTTTAGGGAATACAATATAAATTATTCAATAATTTTAAGAAAGCATCGTCATATTCAGTTTTTTTCTGGCAAAGATATATTTGGGAAATAACTTGAAATGCGAACTATTTAAGGACAGGAATGTGAGCTGAGTTCTGGGGTAAAAGTGGCTAATGTTTCTCAGGTGAAATATTTCTAGAGATAAACATCACTATTCTGGGGCATTGACAGCCCTTCCCATCACATTCCCACGCATGGCCAGCCCAGCTATGCCCCCATAACTTTTTGATCATCACACAAAGAAACTAGAGGGAACAGACTCTCTTTGGATGCTGTTTTGGGGTGGAGACAGGAGGTCACACTCCTAAACTGAATCACCCCGCTGATCTGGATAGCTCCTTTAATGCAATCTCAGAGCACATGACTTTTGCTTCCAGGTACTGTCTGAAAACCAGGGGCATTCAAGGCTAGAAAACTATCAATATGGTGGATCAGTCAAGGCTGGAATAAGACACAGGGTGCATGATGGACCCTGGGGTCACCGTTACACCCAGGCTCCCAAGCGCTGGGTGGGAATCAGCGGCCCAGAACTGGGAGAGCCCTTGCAGCTGGGTTCTGCCTCCCAGCAGCCTCCACTTCCGCCCCAGGGAGGGGGTCCACACGGCTGTGTCTGGACAGAAGCAAGGAGAGGGATGCCTTGTCACAGGAGGACAGGAAACCCAAGGACATCAGGAGAGTCACTCACCAGCCAGGTAAGTGGATTTCCGCCAGCCTGAAAGACAACACGCAGGAAGCAGGTGAACTAAGAAGCAGAATGTCTCTGACGGGGATGCAGAGAGCTCGGGGGAAAAGCAGAACTTACCGAGTTCTGTCCGGAGTTCATCTGAAAGAGAGTGCAGAAGAAGTATGAGCTCCCATCCCTAAGAAAAAGCGTCCACAAAATACCACCTCTCTGTGTGTAACCTGGAGGAGGTTCCAACCCCAGACCCATCGGGGCCTCCCTGGCTCCAGCCATCCACCCTGGGTCTCCCCAGCCACCTGCCCTGGGCCCGGATTTCCCTGGAGCCCTGCACTCAGGAAGGCCCTGTGGTCGGTCATCCATCTCAGTGCGACTGCCATGCTCTCCAGCCCTGGCCACTGTCCTGCCTTACCTGTGTCCTTCAGCACCTCCTCCTCCATCCACCAGTCCTGCTCCTTCACCAGGCGCAGATTCTCCTTTTCTCGCATCACCAGCAACTTCCTGAAATGTTCTCTCATGGTGTAATATCCAGCCCCAAGGAGCAGAGCCATCAGCACAGTCAGGCTCACTGAGAAAGCCAGCTTCCAGGGAGAGGCCTGGGGGAAGAAGGGCTCTGCGGCCCGGCCAGAGGCTCCGTCAGGGCCACCACCCAAGACACCCAGGCCCAGCACACTCAGGAACGCCCGGCCCGCTCCCCCAGCCCTGCGGGAAGCAGGGAGCAGCGCTGACCTGGGATGAAAATGGCCATGGCCTTCTCCTGGCCCAGGACAGTGTTGAGGACGGAGCAGGTCACGTTCCCTGCAGAGCTGTCTCTCACCACCAGAGCCACTTCCACGCTGAACAGCCCTTCAGCGTCCTGGCTGTGGGCCTCGGAGAACGCCAGGAACTTCTCTCCGCTGAGGTCTCTCCACTGCACCTGGGGCTTTGGGAACCACCCTGAGGCCGTGCACACCACACGGACCCCATCCTCCTCGGGCCCTGTGATGCGCACCTGAGGGGCAGAGCCCACACCTGCGGGAGGCAAGATGTAGAGCCCAGGGGGGCTGCCTGGGTCCTGGGGACCCCAGCAGTGCCTACGTGTGCACAACTCCAGTGGGAGCCCTTCGCCTTTCATTCTGGGGCTCTGGGGGAGGCTGTTCCCTGCAGGGAGAAAGGCAGCCGCCCTGCCACGGGGAACACAAGGAAGGGGTGTGGGGACCTCCGGGGGCTCAGAGGGCTGGGGCTCTTCTCCCCAGTCATGCAGGGGCAAGGGCTGACGCCCAGTGGAAACAGGAGGAATGTGGCCCCAGGTCCCATCCTTATCCTCGACTCTCCTCACCTCACACACTCTCCCAGGACATCGGCTTCCACACCCACTGCCTCTCTTTGAAAATCACCACCAAAATTAGATCAGATGACAACCCTATCCCCTGAATTCCCCTTCCATACATCCACATCCAATGGGTTATTTCCACCAGGATTCCTCACATACACTTCAAACTTAAAATTCCAGAACTGAATATGTGATTTTGCCCCATCTGTGATACATTGATTGTAAAAAGATTCCCAAATCTTCACTCCCTCTTTATATCCAGCTGGCCCTCGGCCACACACTTTTTGAGGCCTTCACACTCTGCCTCTGGGCCGGGTCAGGTGACTCAACTAGCCAGTGAGAGACTAGGCCATGTGACTCAAGCAGAGGTTGTAACATCCTCGTGCCATTGGGCTACCCTCTGCCACAGGGAGGCCATGTTTGGTCTGGTGCAGCCTTTCCAGCTGAAGCTTTCCTAGATCAACCAATACCCAGTTGAAAAAACCCAGCAAAGGTCCTTATGGTGGCCTCCTCAGCCGACTGTAAGGACAAATAAGAATTAAAATTAAGGGGCTTCCCTGGTGGCGCAGTGGTTGAGAGTCCGCCTGCCGATGCAGGGGACACGGGCTCGTGCCCCGGTCGGGGAAGATCCCACGTGCCGCGGAGCGGCTGGGCCCGTGGGCCATGGCCACTGAGCCTGCGCGTCCGGAGCCTGTGCTCTTCAGCGGGAGAGGCCACAGCGGTGAGCGGCCTGCGTACCGCAAAAAAAAAAAAAAAAGAATTAAAATTAAGAGGTGTCATTCTCTGTGTTGAAAATAAAGGAAGAGATTCCCCTCCCATCCTTTTTCTTAGAACACTTGCTTTATAAAACCTGTAATTGTAGGTATTTTCTCCCCACTTCCTTTTTTTTTTTGGATTTTTAATTTTTTGGCTACACGCCAAGCGGCATGTGGGATCCTAGTTCACCGACCCGGGATCGAACCCGCAGCCCCTCCATTTGAAGGGCAGAGTCCTAACCTCTGGACCTCCAGGGAAGTCCCCCCCTCCACTTTGAAATGCATATAAATCCTTTTTGAAAACTAGATAGGCCTCTTGCCAGCTTTGGGAACTACGAATGCCTTTCTCTAGGACCTGGGAACAATCTCTTTGAAATATAAATGTTAAGGGAGACAGCACCCAACTTTCGCCTTCCCTGTGGAAGGGTAGGAGCCAGACTTCAGTGGACACTGAACTCCAAGCTGTAAAGCCACCTTCTGTCATAAAGGCATAAGAATTTGTTTTTCCTCTGGATAAAGCCAATCAGCTAACATAGATAGTCACCTCAATCACCAGGAAAACTTAGGGTGAACTATGTGACAGATGGTGCTATCAAGTCCTCTGACCTGAGGATTAGTTACTGTTTACCTTGAAAACATGTACGTAATGGGTTGTATCTGCTTGACTTTATAAAAGGGGGAGCTTTCTCTCTGTCTTTGCGATCTCTCAGTAGATTGCCTGTGATGTGTATCACAGTCTGGTTTAATGCCCATTCAGTAATAAAACTGTATTATTTCTCTACTAACTTTGTGAAGACAATTTCTGGTTTGGGAGATTTTGTTTTTAATTGTATTTCTCCAACATCACCAAAGATGTATAAATAATCCCAGGTAAGATTAGTCAAATATAGTCCAGATTCGCTGTACTCCCTTCATGCCTGAATTAAATAAATGGTTATTGTTATATGCCACTGTGATTTTTGTGGCTGTTTGTTACACAGCATTATCATGGCAACAGATAACACATGTAAAACAAAGAATGTTGCCCACCATGCAATTCTACAAGGATCAAGTCATTAGCACTGTAGCCACTCACTGACAGTACACCCCAAAAGGAATTCAGGACAAAAAAATAGGATAAGGCACTCTGTACTTTGGAAAAACAGGCCCCTTAGATAGTTAGAGATATCTCAGGGGAAAAAAATTTAATGAACCCAGGTTCTTGCATCTCCCCATACATAGAAAAGCACTAAAATCATTAACTGAGGTGTCTGATCCTCGTGAATAGCAGTAAACTTTCACCAAGATGTATGCTTGTCTGCACACGTTTCATAGCCAAAATCCTGTATAAACTGGCTTCTCCTCCTACCTCTTTGGAGCAGTTTCTCAGAGCTACTGAGAGATTGTTTCCCGGATTATATAGCCCTCAGTAAGACCCTGAATAAAACTCAGCTCACAGCTCTTAGGTTGTGTGTGTTTCTTCAGTCGACACACAAAACTTTCCATATTCCTACCACTAAACAACAAACAGCCAAGGCAAAACCCTGGGAGCTTCTGCAGTCCCCTCTTCCCCTCCAAACTGTGTCCCCAAATCCACTCACTCAGTTGGGTCGTCTTTCTAAACTTCACTGATGTCTGATCCCCCCATCCCTCTATGTGATCCCATTGCCTCTATGTGAGGTCATCCTCTTGACCTCATCACTGCATCCATGCCTCCAGCCTGGCTCACCTTTCATCCATCCTCCTCACAGCTGACAAAGGGAACGTTCCAGGCACTGATCTGTTTAAAATTTTCTCAGCAATCCATCAACACCCCATAGCACAGCATGCAAACTCTTCTATGATCTGGAATTTGCCTCCCCCTCCCAAACTCTTCTCCTCTTCCCCCCAATTTCCACTACCTATGCCCCTCAGGGACCACACACTCCAGCCCCACGGACCCTTTGATTAACTGCTAGTAACTGTGATCACCATGCTGTCTGTGGCCCCTGCCTTCTCATGTTCCAGTCCATCAGCATCAAGGGCTTTTTGGAGCCTGGTGTGGTGAACGCAAGTGCCTGCTCCAGTGTGTATTACCTGTGAACTCCTCCTGATTGCCCCAGAGAGCATTAACCAACCCCTTCTCTGTGCACCCTTGGCCAGGAACATCTTTTCGTTCCATTATCGTCACCTCCTACCCCCCTCCCATTCACTCATCTTATCAGCCACGAGGGCCGGCTTGTGTGCTCAGAACACACCAGCCACACTCCTGCCTCAGGGTTTCACGCCAGGTGTTTCCTTTGCTGGGAACTCTTGGTCCCACAGATATCCACATGGCTAAATTCCTACTTCCTTTGAGCTGCTCAAATTGTCAAAAAAGCCCAACCTGAGGCCCCATGCAACACTGAAGCCCTCCTCACCCCTGGTCCCCTTCCACTTCTTTCCTGGCCTCTTATCCTAAATACTTACCACTTCCTAACATCCTCTATAACCTATTTATCTAGTATTTATGGATTGCCTCTAGAACATAAACTCCACAGAGCAGGGAACATTGTTTGGTTCACTGATGTATCCCAGGTGCCCAAAATAGGATGTGGCACAGAGTAGGCTTTCGATATACTTGTACTGAATAATGGAATGAGTGGATGAGCCTCCTGTTCATCTGTAAAATGAGGGGCTGATTTACATTGTCCCTGAAGTTCCTCCCAACTCCAGTATTCCAGGTCAAAAACATAACTCAAGTCACCAACCTGCCACCTTCAGCTCCAAACTCGCCCCTTTGTAGAAGCCTCCCTTTCTGAAGAAGCAGGTGTACAGCCCATTGTCTGAAACCTGGACCCTCTGGATGCGTACGGCAGCCTCCTCCTGGGCAAGGAAGTCGCTCACCAGCGAGGTCCGCCCTGCGTAACGAGCCATCTGCCCCTCATCCTGCTTGACTCGGTTTTGATAGATGAACACGGCTTCTGAAGACTTGGAGCGGAGCCACCTCAGCTCCATGTCTTCTGCACTTATGGGTGGGAACACATGACAGGGCAGCACGGTGTCTCCGCCCAGCACTGCCACGATGGGATCCGAGGGGCCAGCCACGAAGAACCCCTCTGTGGACACAGACGTAGGAGTGAGAAAGGAAGAGAGACACAGAGTGAGGGCAGGAAACACACACAGTCTGGTGGGAAGGCCCGGGCAGGCTGGGGACAGGTGTTGGATAACATGAGCCATCATGACCTGAGGGACTGAGCTGTGATGATTCTGAACCTCCGCAAGACATTCTGATCACAATTTTATGACCCAGAAGTGAGGTCACAGAGAATCCTTCATCCATCTGTACTGCTGTTTTCACACTCTTTCATGGAAAACTCTAAGTCAGTGGTTGGCAACCTTCAGCATGCAGCAAAATCAGCAAGAGGGCTTATAAAACACACAGTGCTGCCCCCTCACCCCCGCCCTGAGCTTCTGATTCAGTAGGTCTGGGGCGGGCCCAAGGATCTGCACTTCTAAAGAATTCCCCGAGGGCTTCCCTGGTGGCGCAGTGGTTGAGAGTCCGCCTGCCGATGCAGGGGACGCGTGTTTGTGCCCCGGTCCGGGAGGATCCCACGTGCTGCAGAGCAGCTGGGCCTGTGAGCCGTGGCCACTGAGCCTGCACGTCCGGAGCCTGTGCCCCGCAATGGGGGAGGCCACAACAGTGAGGGGCCGGTGTGCCCCCTCCCCAAAAAAAATGTTAACTGGAAAAGTATGGTCATATTTTTGACAGTTGATGTTTTAAAACATCATAAGTTCATAACTGAACAAATATCGAGGTCCCTTACCCTTATTTTGTGGTTTAGAGACTCTTGTTAAATATTTAATAACAATTACAGGTTGGGGAAGCATCATGATTTTTCTAGAGAAGGGACTCCTCAAATAGCAACCAACTCCTGACGGTTGGTGGAGTTGAACCAGCCCAGCTCCCGGGGATCCACTCACCCACGAGGACACAGGATGAGGGGTGGGGCACACTCACCTGTGGGCCCCCCAGTGGGCAGCTGGATGAGAAGGAGCAGGGAGGTGAGGGGGCAGAGCGTAGAGCAGCTGGAGACATCTCCCATGGCGTCAGCTGGGGACACAGGGCAGGAGGCAGGGCCGGCCCGGAGCTCTGGGGCCCCAGAGGGGAGGCAGGGCTCAGGGCCAGCAACAGTCCCCCCAGGAGCAGAGCCCCCTGCTTGATCACTGTGCTGGTGAGGTGGTGGCCTCCCACAACCCTGACACAAAGAAAGCCCTGGGTCTGGAGCTTTCCACCCCTGTAGCAAGCCTCTGTGGGGCTAGACAACCACTAGGTTTGCTTGGGAAAAACACAGTCCTTCCCTTCCCACCCCAATGGCACCTGCAGCCCAACCCACTCTGCCCAGAAAACCAGGTGCTTCCTTTCTCAGCACCAGGGGCCCTGTGGTGGAAACGTCCTCCAACTCCCCATTATTCACAACCACTGGTGATGCCCCGGGACAGAGACCCAGACTCAGGCCCCTCACCACGAAGGACAGGCCAGTTCTCACTTGTTGTCCTTCTGTGGCCCCCCAGAGTGACCAGGAATCACTAAGAAGCCCCAGAGACACACTACGTCCTCCTCAAGGAGACTGTGGGTCCATCACAGGTGCCCTGTGCTGCCTCTGTTGCTTGTTTAGTTGACCCTGAACTTCAATCCCACCCAGCCCTTTCCTGAGAGGGACCAAGGACATGGCCCTGCACCAGGTGCCCAGTCAATCCCCACTGACAGGTTAATCCTCACCCTCACTGCCGTTGAAGAAGATTTCTGCATTGGGGTAGAAGATCCCAGTGGAAACAGAGCAGCCGAGGAGATAAATGAGTCCTGGTCAGAGAAGTGACTTAGTGTTCAGGGTGGGGGACGAGGCAGCTTAGGGTCCTGGGAAGGACAGATACTTAGGGCCGACTGCTGAGTCCCCGAAAGCTGGGGCACTGTCTGTGTGATGACCTTAACCAAGTTTCTCAACCTTCTCTGCCTGTTTCCTCATCTACAAAATGTGCATGTTAACAGCATCTAGAGCCCAAAGTTTTAATGAGAATCCCATGAATTTATATTTCTAGAGTCACTACATGTAATTAGAAGGGACCTATTACTAGTAAGTGCCAGAGCTACGACATTAAAATGAAGGAAGGAAGGTACACCCCTCACCGCAGTTGTCCTGGGTCTTCCTAGAACCACACCGTCATCCAGCTCCACCCACCCCTGCCCCCAGCCCCACCTCCTTCTCATCCTCTTCCTCACAGCCAGCTGCTCCCTGCTTTCTCTTCTTGGCCCACAGGTGTCTTCAAAACCAACCTACCTGCTTGGAAAGCCTGGGGCTTCTGAAGCGTCTCTAAACTCAGCAGCGTGAGAAGGTTCAGGGACCCCAGCAGACCCCAAATCTGCCCTCAAAATTTGCACCTGAAGTTAGTCACTCTGAGCCCCAAACCCTAATTCCAGATAGAAATCTGAGCTCCTCACGTCTGAGGGGCAGGCGGCTCCCAGCAGAGTGGAGAAGCAGCAGAGCCTGGTACAGGGGTGTCTGCAGAGACCAGACCATGGGGACCCCGCTGAAACGATCCCGATCCTTTCTCTGGTTCCTTCCACTATTTGAAAGTGAAACTTGGAAAAAGCAATCCCAGCAGACTCTGCCCTGTCCTCTGGACAGTCACCCAGTGATCACAAAGGAAACAGCATGATCAGAGCAGCAAAAGAGAGTAGATACAAGTAAGCTGAAACCACCCTGAGCGGGACGGATAGACTCACAGACTCGGTAACCATAATTTGGACAAGTGCTGCACTCCGGGTTGGCTCCTAACCTCGGCAGTGGGGACTATGTGTGTGGCACAGCCAAGAGTACTAGCTGGCCCCCTGCCTGGTCTGTGTGCACCAGGGGCTCACTGCTGAGACGATCAATGTCAGCTGGTAAACTGCACCGGAACACAGCCCCCAGTGTGGCTGTTTTCTCTTCTTCCCCAACAGATGACCCAGGAGCTCCCCACAACCTGGCAGCCCAGGGGTTAACCCCAGGCCTCAGGAGCTTCCACAACCAGCTCCAGGACCCTGGCCCTGCCCATGCTGAATGGACAGTGCCCTAAGGCTTGTTAAGGTTTTATATCACCCATGGCCTGGGTACAGCCATTCAGACCCCTCCCTGACAGGCTGCAGTGAACGCCAGGAAAGGCTGGTCTCCAAAGAAAAACCAGGGAGACTGGCACTTCCTCTCCTGCCCCTCCCTTACCTGCAGTTTGCTTACTGAGTAAAGGGCACCTGTGTTCACCCAGTTTTCTCTGCCAGAAACTTGAGAGGCATTCTTCATACCCCACTCTCCCACCCAGTCTACTTCCAAAAAGTTCAAGATTTTTCACAAATTCACGTCGACGGCCAGCACCGACTTCCAAGCCACCCTCATTTCTCAGCTGGCTCAAGCAGTGGTCTCCTCGTGGGTCTCCCCACCCCCACCCCACCTCCAGCCTCACCTCCTCCAGTTCATTTGCCTTCCAAGGTCATGATCCTCTCACATCGTCTCTTGTCAACTCTCTGGCTCACCCCTCAAGGGACCTCCCCGCTTAACCTCTCCTCTGTGGCTCCCAGGCCTCCAACGTCCTCTCTGACCTCATCCCCTTGTTCTCCCAGGTGCTCCCTTACTGGCCTCAGGTGAGATCCTCCAGTTCCCCGAGCCTTCCCAGCCGAGGACCTCCTCACCAGCCACTGGATGCTCCTGCCCGCCCCCTCCTCCCCCAACCTCCTCACTGTCCAGCTCTCACCTAAAATGACCTTGCTCGGGGGACCCTTTGCTGACTTCCCGATCCCCATTGTGGGCCCCATACACATGCTTCTGGGGTTTTGGTTGCACCCTGTCTCCTCCACAGCCCTGACCTGTGCTCAGGTGAGGAATGTCTGGGGAATCCAGGAGAGGAGCCACTGTGTGTCCTGTTCACCTGTCCAGCACGTAGTAAACACTCAATAAACATTACTTGAGCTCATTTTCAGGAGTCTCTTCAGCAGCGCATGGGCTACTCAGCCTCGCCCATTTTCAGAAAACATTCTAGTCCACAGAAACACAAAGGCCGTTAACCCTGGAAGTCAGCCCCTGGACAGACGCAAGAGCCACACCATCTGCCCCTTTTTTTTCTTATCTACCCCAGAAATAAACGCATCACTGAGTACAGCCCTGGCCAGAAACATCAGCTTCAACCACTTCTGATGCTTCCTCAAGCCTGCCCAGTGTCGGGGGTTCACAGGAAAGTGACTTTCCTAGTGTCTCTCACACCTCACTTCTGCCTGGCGGTTGTCATTATTATCCTCATTCTACAGTCGAGGAAATCAAATCTCAGACTGACAACCACACACCCAGCAAATCTCTCTCAACCTGTGTTCACTCTGGGTTGTTCTGAACGGCCTGTTATATTTATCTTCATGCAACAAGGACTGACCGACCCGCTGATGCCTGGGGTGCTTGGTTTCTGCCCGAAGTCTGGCGTGAGCTATTACCCAGAACTTCTGGATATACCCGAACACAGCCCACTTTGTCATCCCACAAAAATCCCATTTTTGCTAATATCTACTTACACTCAGGAGTATTTGGAAAATCCACATTAACACAAAAGTACCTAATTAGATGAGAACAAATATTAGCCTCCGGGTCTGCCTAACCTTCACCCTCCACTACCTCCACCAATCCTTTCCCCACAAGGAGATTTTTCAAGGCCTGAGAAGCATTAGAGGAATTTTATGAAAACTAAATTTTACTGAATACCTACTAAGTGCCAGGAACTGAGCCACACAAATCGAATTTATGCCACATCATTTTCACACATGCACACAGACATGAAGTAAGATAAGAGCTCTGCCACTGAGGACACTTAGTCCAGGCCCCTCACAGAGGAGGGAGGGCTAGAGATGCAGGGAGGCTGCCCCGCCCACCACCTCCAGCCCTCAAACCCAGCCCAGCCCAGCCCCCAGCTCCACACACAACTCCACAGGAAGCAGGAGCAAAAAGGGACCTTGGACTCCGTAATGCCACAAGATGATCTGGCCAGAAAGCTTATCTCACCCTGAATGCCAGCCCTTTGATTCCATACTGGGAGGGGAAGAGCAGTAGGGATGACAAAGTACAGGGAAGATTTTCTGGAAGCACACTGGAAGGACACTGGAACACACTGGCAAGATGGATATCAAACAACATACTTCACTGCCCTCTCCCAGACATCAGGGTCATGTTCCAGCTGCTTTAACAGGAAAGACTGCTCCCTAGCCACAAATGATTTTTCTTTCTCAAAGTGTAAATTATCCTAATGCTAGTGGGGTTAATATTTTACTTTCTTCTTTAACAGCCACATAGTACCTCTTATCTTTTATTCACTTCAAGTGCTTTCAGAAGAGTTTCAGATAAACACCTAAGCCATAAAACAATGGTGATGCAAAATGAACTGTGATTCTTAAAATGTTACAGTGCATAAATCACAGCAAGATCTTTTTCAACCCACTGCCTAGAGTAATGAAAATAAAACCAAAAATAAACAAATGGGACCTAATGAAACTTCAAAGCTTTTGCACAGCAAAGGAAACCATAAACAAGATGAAAAGACAACCCTCAGAATGGGAGAAACTATTTACAAATGAAGCAACTGACAAGGGATTAATCTCCAAAATTTACAAGCAGCTTGATAACAAAAAAACAAACAACCCAATCCAAAAATGGGTGGAAGACCTAAATAGACATTTCTCTAAAGAAGATATACAGATGGCCAAGAAGCCCATGAAAAGCTGCTCAACATCACTAATTATTAGGGAAATGCAGATCAAAACTACAATGAGGGGGCTTCCCTGGTGGCACAGTGGTTGAGAGTCAGCCTGCCGATGCAGGGGACACAGGTTCGTGCCCCAGTCCGGGAGGATCCCACATGCCGTGGAGCGGCTGGGCCCGTGAGCCATGGCCGCTGAGCCTGCGCGTCTGGAGCCTGTGCCCCGCAACGGGAGAGGCCACAACAGTGAGAGGCCTGCGTACCGCAAAAAAATAAAAAAACTACAATGAGGTATCACCTCACACTGCTCAGAATGGCCATCATCAAAAAATCTAGAAACAATAAATGCTGGAGAGGGTGTGGAGAAAAGGCAACCCTCTTACACCATTGGTGGAAATGTAAATTGGTACAGCCACTATGGAGAACAGTATGGAGGTGCCTTAAAAAACTAAAAATAGAATTACTGTATGATCCAGCAATCCCACTCCTAGGCACATATCTGGAGAAAAACATAATCCGAAAGGATACATGTACCCCAATGTTCATTGCAGCACTATTTACAATAGCCAAGACATGGAAGCAACCTAAGTGTCCATCAACAGATGAATGGATAAAGAAGATGTGGTACATGTATACAATGGAATATTACTCAGCCATAAAAAGGAATGAAATAGTGCCATTTGCAGAGACGTGGATGGACCTAGAGATTGTCATACAGAGTGAAGTAAGTCAGAAAGAGAAAAACAAATATCGTATAATATCACTTATATGTAGAATCTAGAAAAATGGTAGAGATGAACTTATGTGCAAAGCAGAAACAGAGTCACAGATGTAGAGAACAAATTTATAGTTACCAAGAAGGGAAGTCGGGGTGAGATGAACTGGGAGATAGGGACTGACATATATACACTACTATGTTCAAAATAGATAACTAATGAGGACTTACTGTATAGCACAGGGAACTCTACTCATTGCTCTGTGGTGACCTAAATGGGAAG